CAGCCCACCCCCGCTAACCCAAGGGCTCTGACAGCTTCCGAGGCAGTCTCAGCCCCATGCAAATTGCTTTCCTGAGCAAAGAATGTAGCAAGCCTGCCTTCCAGCTACCAGCCCCTGGCCTTCGGTCTTTCACTCCGGAGGCTCTCACCCCGGATACAATGGGACACCGGTGGGGGGATGGGGTGAATTCATCCCAGGCTTTCCTGCAAAGATCCCCGTCAGCAAAGAACAAAACTTCCCGTACCTGCAGTTTACAGAGCTGCAGGCAAACCAAAGTATTTGGTGGCCTTGACTGTTCTCATTTTCCAAACTGTTGAGAGCCAGGAAGTCGTTTCTGTCCTTTTAAGTCTATTTTCCCCGTTTTATTGAGATGTAATGGACATACAACATTGTATTAGTTTAAGGTGTGCAGCGTAATGACCTGATGTACGCATACGTTGCAAAATGATCACCACCGCAAATCTAGTTTCACATCCATCACCTCGCATTCCCTTTTTTAAAGAAATCATGTTCTATTTCTAATGAAACAGAGCTGATCTGCCTGAAGCACAGTGTACTCCACCCACCCTCTCCTGGACACCCCTATTCCAAACTCTTTCCCCCTCCAGAATGGTGGTGTGAAAAGACAAAGCAAAGGTTACATCGAATTTCATCCCCTTGTTTGGACCCAGCAATCCTCCTCTGCCTGCAAGTTGGTTCTGTGAGCAAAATTCAGCTTGTGTGGGAGCAAAGCCAGCAGGTGGAGACCTGAGCAGCCAGAGTGCATGCAGTGATTAGTCAAGAACTGTATCTCAGAAAAATATATAATTGGAATTTGCTAAGGGTTTATTTTTTAGGGATGGGGGGTTGGAAAAGAAGAAGAAACCTTAGGATTCTTGAATGTTGAATTTGGGGATGGGGTGGAAAATTGAATGCCATGGACTGTTGTTACAGTTTGTCCATAAATAGGTTAGTGCTGGAACCCAGTTCTAAAAACTGTTCCTTTGGTGACAAACCAGAGCAGGGGAGAAAAAGACAGAGTGAGGATGGAGTGGGGCTGAAGGACTGACAGGATTGCCAGGTCAGAGAAGGAAAAGCTAATTTGAAAAAGAGCCAGAGGGGAAAAAAGACAAGAGGGAACAAGATAACCGCTTGGGAAAAGAGGGCTAGACGGGAAGGCAAACACTGTTCCTGAAATGAACCCACCACAAACGTTTTGGCAAGTCCGTTACAGGAATATCAACTGCTTAGGGAATACTCTCCTTTTTCTCCCTCTTTTCAATTGGCTTGGTTTACAGGTCAATACATTTTACGATTTTATCTCTAGTAATCTACTAATGTCCCTGGTAAAATAAGAAGGTGGTGCTTTCATTCTGGATTAGAATAAAAGTCACCAAAAAAAAAGGTAATTTCAAATTTAGAGGTCATGGGCACAGAATCCTGAAAGAATTTTTATTAACAGCCACTCTTTGTAGATCCCTGCCATGTCAAATGTTACTAGTTATTTGGCACTTTATTTTCATTGATTCTTACAACACAGAGAAGGTACTTTCATCCCTATTCACAGATGAGGACACTGGGTCTTATTTAAGTGGCTGAGCCAAGATAAAAACCAATTAAAAATCCTCCAAAGTGATGGGGTGTGTATAATGATTAACGGGGCACCCAGTGTCCTGCGTCCGCAGGTCCTTTCCTCTGGCTTCTGCTAAAAGCAAGGCAACGGTCCTGCTGAAAAGACTTGCTGGTCTTTCTGAAAGTTAAAAAACCAGAAAGAAGTAAAGTGGGAGTTGAAAACATGTAGTATCTTGAACATCAACTAATGCCTTAACATTCAATGTGTTTTACTGTGACCTGTGGGTGAATCCAAGAGGAAAATGGAGCTAGTTGAAGTTTGCCATAACTAGCTTGATTTTGAGACCCTGAGGTCCAGAAATTAATTGTTTTGAGGTCCAGTCTAGAAATTAATTGTCCCCGTGGGAGTTTCCATCACTTTACGTAGCCTCAGGAATTGGAGGTACATCTTTGATTTTAAAAGGTGGAAACACATGAATCTAGAAGCATTTAGCTGCTGGGTTTATTCTGTTTCCAGGTTCTGTGGCCCCAGTTTGCCAGTTCCCCACCCAGTCTGGGTTCTCAGCAGCCACCTTCTGCATCACAATGGCCTTGGGGAGACTGGCAGACGGGATTAACTGGGAATTCGCAAGGGTGTGTGTGGGCGTGGGGCTGCCAAGAGGGCGGGTCTAAGTATGGCTGAGCCTCCCTTATAAACCTAGAGCCTCCGAAGTTTCCTCATTTTGCTAGATTGGGCCAGTGGGCTCCTTTCACGGCAAAGGTGACGCCCCACTCCTATCCCATCTGTGTGATTCTTTTCCACCTGGAGCTCTTTATCTTTCCCTAAGCTCTTCTACCTGGATACCTGAACCTGGACCTTTCCTACCATCTAGCCCCTTCTTCATCTCAACAATATGAGCGCCGACGCCGATTGTCCCCAAAGCCTGCTTTGCCCCGAAGCATCCAATTCTAGGGAGACTTCACCAATGCCTGAGCCTTATGGGCCTGAAGAAGATTACACATCCTTGCAGATGTCATCTGCTGAGACACCCGACACGGAGACTGGTAAGAAAGTCCTGAATCCTTGAGAGACTAAGTTCCTTCAGGGGAAGAGAAGGACGGGAAGGGGGTAAGAGCCATCTGTTTCCCTCTTGAGCAGGTACACCCCATCCATAGAAGCAGGTGTCTTTGTCTATTAATCCTCTTGACACTTATTTTTCAACTGAAACTTGTTGGGGTCATGCCCTTTCCCCTGTGTCCCAGGCGTCAGGTGCTGTGCACTGAGACAAGGGACAGGGGACTTGGCAGCTCAACTGTATACTGTACATCTGAGCTTGTGTGCATAGGTGCTGTGGAAGCATAAACGTGCTGTGATGACTATGCTGATGTATCAATCTTAATTAAGGTCGTGCCGGACATGCAGCAGCAGTAAATGTTACCACTGAGCCCGAAGTCACAACATCACCGCTGGCGGGGAGGGGAGGTGAGCACCACCTTTTTGGCTTGTCTATTCAAGGAGTGCCAGAAGTGGCACCGCTAAGGACGTGAAGCGCACCTTGGAGAAGTGCCTTCCCTTCCCGCTGCAGTGGCAGTCGGCTCTTCTGCTAACCTTTGGGTGCCAGGGTGTTACTGGGCAGCTGAGTTTGTGAGCACCTGCCATGCTTAAGTTTCCTAAATCCCAAGGAAGTGTTCACCCCATTTTACAGATCTCTGCAGAAGGTTTAATATGCTAACAGTCAAACAAACTGGCGAGAGCTCAGATTTGAACTCTAGTTTGGCTTCAGAATCTGTACTCCAGTACTTGGGCTTCTAACTGATAATGAGGGTATGAAGGCTGCTCAGATAATGTAAAGCCAGCACCAGTTTTTTCGGAAATCAATTTGGCAGTAGTTGTTAAAAGTAAGAAAGGTAAACCAACCTTTACCCAGGAATGCCATTTTTAACATTTATGGTAAAATATAGCCTAAAAACTACTTATACTTAGGATTACAACTGTAAAACTTAAGTTGTGGATAAGGAATAAGTCAACAGAATAACTGCTATATTTGACTGTTCAATGGATGTTCCCCTATTTTCCTAAACTTTGTGTTAATGTCCTTTTATAATTTCAAAGGTTGAAAACACAAATTTGGATTTTGAGAGAAGTAGCTTGGGAGCTCGGCATGTCCTTCATAGCAAACCAACTGCGAGTTTGTATAAATTCTTTTTTTAATTTAAGTATAGTTAGTTTATAGTGTTCTGTCAATTTCTGGTGTACAGCATAGTGTTTCAGTCATACATATACGTACATGTATTCTTGTTCGTTATAAGTGACCATAAGATATTGAATATAGTTCCCCGTGCTATACAGAAGAAATTTGTTTTTTTATCTATTTTATATAGTTAGTATCATAATTTCTAGAACACACTTCACTTAGCAATTAGTCGAGGACTTTTCTTATTAGATCTACTTGCAAGAAGAAGCACGAAGTATGGATTTTTGCCTTTTAAAGCCTATTTGTTCCATGACTAGGGTGGAATTGGAGCTGAGCACTGGGAATACCTCTGCAAATAAACAGGAAATAAAATTTCAGTTACAAAGCCAATATACACCAGGCCCTATACTAGACAATTTTTACCTGTTAACTCGTTTCATTGTTTTTAATATATGTTTTTTGGTGGGGGGTGGGGAGGTAATTAGGTTTATGTATTTATTTATTTATTTTTAGAGGAGGCACTGGGGATTGAACCCAGGACCTCATGCTTGCTAAGCGTGTGCTTTAGCACTTGAGCTATATCCTCCCCCTGTTTTTGTTGCTGTTTTTAAATTTTCAATTTCTGTTACTTCATTTTAATCAGTGAAGAAACTCATGAGACATATTGTACAACCTGAGGAGTGTATCAAGTATTTTATAACAACTATAAATGGAGTATAACCTTCAAAAATTGTGACTCTCACCATACTGTACACCTGTAATTTCCATTATATTATACATCAACTATACTTCAATTAAAAAAACACAAAACCTATGATTAGTTGGCCCGATTGCCACAGCAAGCAAAACAAAAAAACTCCATCCAGGAGGAAGGGCTAATTTTGGACATGAGATCACAGAGCTCATGAAAACAAAGTCTGGATTGAAATAGCTTATCAGAATTCACATTTCCTGCTAGTCCTGGCATTAGAACTGGGCAGTCAACTGTTGGTTTTACAGGTCTCCAGAATCTGGATCATCCGTTTTAAAAATTAAGTAGGTGTTGATTTAGGTACAAAAGGAAGTTACGAAGGGACACAGTGGGTGGGAATTAAGAACAGCCGTGGTGTGGGCTCCTGACCTTCAGCTGGCTCAAAGCAGTGTCTGGCATAGAGGTCTGAATCCCGCCAGCTTCCCAGCCATACTTGTTATTAGTCTTGTCCATTATATGTAAAATGACATTGCACAAGGTTAGCCAAGTGTTCAGGACACTTAAGAATAAGTTTATTACTTACTACCTAGCTCTGAGGTTGTAAGGACGTTCATTGTGTTTTGAAAGCAACTTTTTAATATTTGAAGTTTTAGAGAAAAGTGTTGTTTTATTCCCAACAGTCTCTCCTCTTCCTTCCTCCATGGATCTGCTTATTCAGGACAGCCCTGATTCTTCCACCAGCCCCAGAGTAAAACCACTGCCCACTTCTGCAGAAAGCAGCACAGAGAAGCAGGAAGAGAAGGTCCAGGCCAAGAAACAGAAGGTCAGAACCGTGTTCTCCCAGACCCAGCTGTGTGTGCTCAATGACAGATTCCAGAGGCAGAAATACCTCAGCCTCCAGCAGATGCAAGAACTTTCCAACATCCTGAACCTTAGCTACAAACAGGTAGGGTTGCCTTGTTGTCAAAGCAATAAGCAATAAAAATAAGGCTAGTTTCTCAAGTGGTAGAGTGCCTGCTTAACATGCACGAGGTCCTTGGTTCAATCCCCAGTACCTCCACCAAAAAACTAACTAAATAAATAAACCTAATTACCTCCCCTCTGCAATAAATAAAAACATAAATAAGACTAATTTCTAGATCCTGTTTATGTACCCCAACAAATAAGTTAACTTTTTAATAGAAAAATGGAATCTTTTTGTAATATGTTTTGTGACCATCTTTCTTTCACTACATATTCTATTGTATGCATGTGTCCTAATTTATTTAAATACTTTTCCCTTGTTGCATAAACCAAAGCTGTAAAAAATGTTTCCAATTTTTCCTTAATCAAAGGAAGTAAATATATTCCTATCTTCCAGGGTAGGGGAGTCCCTAGCCAACACTGGTTCTCATTCAAATAGAAATTGCATGTTTTGTTTTCATCTATGTACATTCGATTACTAATGAGTTGAATCACTTTTCATATATTAATTGGCCATTTTAATCAGTCAGATGCCATGGTTTTCTATCACTGGTCCCATATGTAGAGAGTCCTTCCTTCTCTATTCCATGATCTTATTTTATATACATGCCTTCTACTTCTGTGATCTCATTTTCCAACTCTGTTTATAAATCATCTGGAAATTGTAGTTTTTTCTGTGCTGCAGTATAATTTGATATTTTCTAAATAGTTGTCCTTGTGGTATGTTTATAATTCTTGAGTTAAAATATCATTATCACATTAAACATAAATGTGCTTATGGGGGGTGCTTTTTATTACAAACAAATTGCCTTTAACTGGGACTCACAGCATAGGTGAATCCTATGAAAAGGAAGATGAACAGACATTTAAATGTGAACGTGCAGTTCATCTCTCACTGATAAGGTTTATTAAACAAAAAGCAGCCAAAGGATTTGAGGGGCTTGAAATTCACTCATAGATTCAAGATTTAAGAAAGGACTGCAGAAGCGAAAATTCTGTCCCTGAGCCTGAGATAGTGTAGCTGTCACGAAGAAAAATTCCTTGATCCCTAGTACATCCTGCATTACTAGTATTTTATGCTTCCTGTTACCTTTTCCTTGCAGGTTAAGACCTGGTTCCAGAACCAGAGAATGAAATGTAAGCGGTGGCAGAAGAACAACTGGCCAAGGAACAGCAGCAGCATGACTCAGGTACCAGGAAACATTTTCCTGCTCTTCCTTACAAGGGCTTGCCCATCGCTCAAGCATGCAATCCCAACCACAGACAATTCTCGTTTTTTTCCTTGTACCTTTTCAGTTAATCCATCCTTCTCTTTCAAAAGGGCTCAGCAACCACAGAATACCCGGGCCTCTATTCCTACCACCAAGGATGCCTGGCGAATACTTCTGGAAACCTTCCCATGTGGGGCAACCAGACCTGGAATAGCCCAACTTGGAACAGCCAGACCTGGAACAGCCAGTCTTGGGGCAGTCACTCCTGGAACAGTCAGCCCTGGTGCCCCCAAGCCTGGAATAACCAGACTTGGAACAACCAGGCCTGGAACAGTCAGTTCAACAACTGTGTCGAGGAATTCCTGCAGCCCCACAGCCAGCTCCAGCAAAACTCTCCTTTCAGTGATTTGGAGGCCGCCTTGGAAAGTGCTGGGGAAAGCCATAATGTAATACAGCAAGCTGCTAAGTATGTCAGTCCCCAGCAGCAGATCATGGATTTATTCCCCAGTTACTCCATAAACATGCAGCCTGAAGATGTGTGACGATGGCTATGTCATTCAGTCTCAGTGACTGTATTCCTTTTCTAGGCTTTTTCTTTTAGAGTTCTGTATCTCTGCCTTGATAGCCTGTGTTTCATGATGACTTTGTGTCAATTTGGGAGGGTGAGAGGGTAGGACTGGAGTCTAATCAAAGAGTTTCCAGTGGCAGTGGCTTCTGCAGACATGATAAAAGTTCTTGTTATAGACAACTAGATAGAATAACTAATTTTTGGATATCTTTAGGATGTAGAATCTGACTTCAAGAATAGGGAGCAGAAATACAAAGATGTGTGGGGAAGGACTGTTCTTATTTTCTGAGTTGAGGAGGCTTTACTTATGAAGACCCAGTTGAGTTAAGGTGAAGGTTATGCGACAGTGCACCTCACTGACTTCCTCTGCCCCTTTTGCTGTTTTATTTCAACCCCTAATTTGTTCATCATGCTAGCATTTTGCAGAAAAATGTTTTGTATTTTGCACATCATGATAATGGTACCCAGTTTGGCTGGTTGGTTTTTTATAAGTGTATGTACAAATAAATAAAACATCCATTTTACCTTTAGTTGTCTCTACCCTGATTTCACCCAGTGGTTCAATGAGTAAAAATTTGACTAAACATGGGAATATTTTTTGATATGGGGGGAAAAATTGAACTGAAATCTTTTAAGCCATTGAGGAGACTGCTGTCTTAAGAAAGTGAGTCAAGGAAAGGTAACCAGTACACAGTGCTAGGTGACTGATTAGTTAATTAAACCTGGACAAACGTACCTCCTCCTTGTATTGTGATACTGAAACAAGAAGATGTGTGGTTACTTGCAGTTAAAGAAGACTGCCATGTCTGGAAGATCTGGAGCAAAGAAGCGACAAATGAGAGCTCTTAGGTTTGTAAAAGGCTGAACGAAGGGCAGCTGGGAGGGGAGGCAAATACTGGAAAGCAGAGGAAGCTAAGGGAGGAGGGGGGGTTGGCTGACTAATTGGAATTCTCCCCTGTAATTCACCTAAGAAATGTTCTGTGACTTCTCTTCCGCCAGAACAAAGCACTATGTTGAAATAATCCTATTTTTAAAAGCCAGCTTTTCTTTTTCTGCTGGGGGGCGGGTAGTTAACTAGGTTTGTTTTTTTTTTTAAGAGGAGGTGCTGGGGATTGAACTCAGGACCTCCTGCATGCTAGGCATACACTTTACCGCTTGAACTGTACCTTCCCCCTCTCCCAGCTTTTATTTTTTAGGACACTTTAAATGTGGAGACCAACTACAAAGCACAATTTAATGCACTGTTTTAATGTTTGAATCAATTCATGTTTAACATTAAAAAAAAACTGGATCATAGGCCAATATAGAAGTAAATTCTAAGGCTAGTTTGAAATAGATTCTTTTTTTCTGGTAAAGTTTTCTCATCTTAGAAGGAGGTAGGCAGGCATCTGTGAACAATCCCGGTCTTTTTTTCACTGACCTTTTCCCATCCTGGCTTGCCCCAAGTTGATCTGATTGGGAGCCCACTCATTCACCACTCCGCCCTGCTCCATGGAAACCTCCAGGCTCCTGAAGCAGCGGAGATGCTGAGAAAAGGGAACAGCCGGAGCACTTCCCTAGTCATTTCCTTCATGGTTCCCCTGGTTTTCCAATGTTCCTCTATACTGCTATCCGACCCAGTTATCTAGACATTTGACAAAAAGAAGCCACGGATAATTAATTTCTGCCAAGACCTACGTGCAACAATATTCTGTTTTTCAACTGGCAGAGACATCTGAGTTTTGTGCCGAGTGAATGATGGGAACAGAAAGCACTGATGGAACAAATAAACTAACGCACTGAAATCGCTCTGTAAGTCAGCACTTTTTAGTCTTGAATTCAAGCAGATTTGAGTGTGACTTTTGAAAACAGGCTCTCACTGTTACTCCCTGGCTTTTCACTTACATTTTTAGGAAAAATTAGAAGAGATTAAAGTAGAATTTTTTTTAAAGATATGTCACTTTAATACTTTTACAAAATTCTTGGCCCTAAACAATTGTAGATGATGAATTGACAACAAATTTGAGGAAATAACTAAATGGTGAACTAAATGGCCTAGAAACTTGGGAAAATAGCTATTACAAAGTGATGTGAGTCCAGGAAACTCCAAATTTCGCTCTCCAGTACAGAGCTGTGCCATGTAACAATTTTTGACAACCTTGTCTTTGCTTTGGATTAAGTTCAGCTATAAGACCTTGGGAATAGGCAAGGAACAGCTAGTTAAGGAGGATTTATTAGAATGCCAGAAGTAAGAGGAGTACCTGTTATGTGTAAAGCATCATGCAAGACACTGGAGAACCCAGGAAGCCAGCAAGAGAAGGGAGAAGAAGGAAAAAAGTTGAAAGCAGAAGAGAGATGGAGTTCTGATCATTTTATTTGCTTTTGGAAATTAGCCACTTAAGGAAATGCCATTCATCTATTGTTTATTATACCCAATAGGCAGATATTAAAGGTAAAAAAAAAAACCTAAGGCAGAGGACAGCAAAATCCACAACCATCAAGGAACCAAAGTCTTTAAAAATTTAATCTTTAAGGTTAGGATCTTTTGACTGCAAAACTATAAGAATCTTACTATTAAAAACAAATTTAAGCAATAGAGAAATATATAATGAAGTGAGTCTAGTAATTGTATCTATTCAGTGATAAACTATTAACAATTTAGTATATATTCCTACAGGTGTTTTGGTATATGTAATATGGATGGTTTTTTTATATGTGAATTTTAATGGATTGTTAATACCTTGTAACAGGATTATACCATACATTCTCTTCTGAAAGCTAGTTTTTTTCACTTAGCATTATATTTTTCAGAATTTAGAGATATATCCATCTGAGATATACCTAAATTGACATACACGTTAAAAATTGCCACGTACACCCAAGAACAGTTAAGATTCCCTATTTTCCTTTAAATATATTAGCCAAGCTTGAAATGGTTTCTTCCTCAAATATTTTCTATCAAAAAATTTCTGATAAGAAGAAAAAAATGCAATTCAGGTAGTTGAACAAGGGAAAGGATTGTTTTTTGGTTCTTCCTAAGATCTCAGTGTGACTTTTGCTATTCCATTTAAAAAAAAGAGAGAGAAAAGATCATTACATAAAGTCAACCTTTTAAAATCACTGCTACCTTCCATGTCTTTCCAGACATTTTCATGCATACATATGACATATATAGAATTATAACTCGTTTTTCCTATCCAAAGATGGGATTATATCATGCAATTTATTCTGCAACTCACTTTTTCTACTTAAGATATATTTCCACATCAGAGAATTTAATTACTGTATAGTGGTAATTGCTGTATAATATTACATAGTACAAATGTATTTATTTGTTTTGGTTAATTTGCCACTATAAATTATGTTGCCATTAACAATAGCAATTTAAAGCCATCACCAAGAATATAAACTAGTACTGGGGGGTGGGATAAATTAGGAGTTTGGGATTAATAGATACACATTACTACTTATAAAATAGATAAACAGTAAAGACCTACTGTGTACTGGGTAGTATAAGGAACTATATTCAATTTCTTATAATGAGCTGTAATGGAGAAGAATCATAAAATATATATATGTATATGTATAACTGAATCTCTTGGCTGTACATCTGAAACTAACATCGTAAATCAACTACAAGTCAATAAAAAATTAGAACTGAAAAAAAAAAAAACCAGTCTAACAGAAGGAGGTAAGACGAAAAGGAAATAAATCCACCTGCCAGCCTCTCCCATCCTTTACACATCCCTTCCATACGAAAATCTTGCCCTCTCCATCCTCCTCCCCAAAGGAGGTGGCTGTTACTTCTAGTGTCATATTTTAGTTACTTTATTATATTTTGGCTTTTAAAATTCAGGGTGTCTTGATTTTCAGCGTGGATCTCCATTTCAGTTTGTGTCTGAAGGACAGAAGAACATAGGTTGAATCGGCCTGGGTTTTCTGAATTCCAGAGACTGGATTCAAAGCCCAGAGGTGGGAGGAGTGTAGACCTTGCTTAGTGAATTTCAAGCAGCCAATTCTTAGGGTAAAGGACAAATTTCATCCTGTTCTGAATAATCCTACTATTCAGAAAACTTGGTGTCCACAGGGATAAAACTTCAGACCCAAAGGTAAAGGCCGACAGCTGCCAGACAGAGGCGGGAGGCAGGGAGGGCCCTTAGTCAATACTGCATGCCCCCCCGGGGCCGAGCGAGCTTTGCCTCCAGTGGGAGATAAAGGGAATTTGTTAAATAAAGAAGCAGTTGGGGCCGACAAAAGCTCCTGGCACAGGAAGTTAGTTCAACTAAGGATACCGACGTGTAGGCATTTGAATAGCTTCCTCGGTGTGAGGTTGAAGTGAAACCAGATTGTAAAGCAGCAGCAGCTGGTGGCGAGTGTCCTGGTTCCTGGGTGGTGGATGTAAACCCTGGGGTCCTGGGAGAAAGTGTCCTTGAGAATTTTGAAAGGTTAAATGCCTGGGAAGTTACTTTAATGCAAAGTAGTGCTACCTTCAAGTATAACTACCAAGCAAGCTAGCGATCAGAAAAGCTCACCTGATCAGACTGAGATGCTAGGGTCGTATTAAATTAATTAAAACTCACCTGGCACAAAGCATGGGGCATGAGATGGGTCACACTAATGCCCTCAGGATAGGGTCTCAGGTCGGGTAGAACGGGTAGCAATGTTCATTCGATCATCTCTCGAATGCATGATAGGGTTACAATGACCAAGGACTGAGGATGAGAATATGAGAGTGAATTAGGGCAGAAGGAATGTACCTGGACACAATCACGCTGGCCCCCTCTGGCAGAGACATCAAGGGCACATACTCCTGGCTAAAAAAGTAGCTCTCCGTAGCTTGATGAGCAGCCGGGGAATTTATTTTCACTACATGCGGAGAATACATGGGTTGGAATGGGTGTCACCAATGGATGGTCAATTTAAGAGCGATGGATGTTGAGCGCCCCTGGTACATAAGGATATTTAGTGTTGGACTAAATAAGAGAACCAGGTGCCTCTTGCGCCTTCCATCCCTTTCTGAGTCCTTTACACATGCGCTCTAAATACGTCTTCCTGGTTACTCACTTATCTACAGTCAATGTGCTGTATATTTCATTTGTTTTCCATAGTCCAAGTGACCATTCTCAGACAATACAGTAGTAAGTGCACTTTACATGAGATTAGCCACACACTCTGGGTCCTTCTGCAACCCTTCCCTAATTTTTAGCCTCATCCAGACCCTAGATCTCATTTCTTAGGTCTCATCCTTCCTCAGCTACTTAATCCTCCAGCCACACTTAACATTCCCCAAATTGTGTAAGGCTTTGCAGATTCCTTCAGTGCTGTGTGATGAGCCATTAAACCCAATGCACCAATTCCCACTGATTCTCTGATCAATTTCTCTCATTAGGTCGATAAAAATGGTTCCTTTTACCTACTGAGTCTACCCTCTATGAAGAAGAAGCCTTTGTTGAAGTACCTGCTACAACAGTCTCCATCAGGATAAGAGAAAAATTATCATTATTCTTAACTCCATGGACAGCTCTTTACAGTGTCTTTCCTTACGACATTTACATGTTCCAAAAGAACAGCGACAGATAAATCGAGTTTCAGCTTGGGGGAAAATACTTAATAAAAGTACTTTACATTTATATGGCACTCTCTTATACGGGAAAATGTTTTAAAATTTTATTTCATATGATCCTTAAGCTATGCTCTGAAGTTAACTACCATTTATATGTAAAGAAACCGAAGTTCTGGAAATTTAGTCAACAAATCCAACGTTGGATTGCCTTCCCTTCACTGTCTGAGTTGACTTTCACCCGTCTGCATTGGGAAACTGCATGTCCCTTTAAAATCCACTGTCATCCATTTTCTGTCCCTACTGTCCTTTATAATAAATCAAGCTAAAATTTAAGAATCACTTCAAAATTCATCCTTCATTAGTTTATACAAAGAA